AACTCAAAATTTCGGGAAACAGTTGTAAGTGAATTTTGACCCATTTAAAGACTTTTCTTGCCACAGTTGTTAAGGGAATGGCTTCCTCCGTTGACTTTGCTTGTCAGAAACTGGCCGGGAAGGATACAAATGATGATTCTGGGATAGTGCAAATGTCATAAATACATGCCAGTTGCTACGTACTTGAATTTTGATCACGTGATTATGGAGATGCTGCAATGGTCGTTAAGGGTGAAAACTGGCCATAAATCACTTTTCCCCATGTTATTGTAATTCCAAATGGTCACTGAACGAAGGGTTCTAAGTTGAGGCTCCCTGTATGTCATTTGTCTTTGAATATACAAATATATTATAACAAACTCATTTAATAATTAAATTAAATTAAATTAAATTAATAAACACAAAGCCTACACAGGGAGTCCTGGACTTACCAGAGTTGAACTCAAAATTTCGGGAAACAGTTGTAAGTGAATTTTGACCCATTTAAAGACTTTTCTTGCCACAGTTGTTAAGGGAATCATTGCAGTGGTTAAGTTAGTAATATGTTTTTTATGTGAATCTGGATTTCCCCTTGGACTTAACTTGTCGGAAGGTCCCAAAAGGTGATCACATGATCCAGGGACATGGCAACCGTCATAAATATGTACCAGTTGCCAAGCATCCAAATTGTGATCACATGGCCATGGCTGTAATGGTTGTTAGTATGAAAAACAGTCATCAGTCACTTTTTTCAGTGACGTAATAACTTTGAACAGTCACTAAATGAACTGTTGTAAATCAAGGGCTACCTGGATTAAATATCCCCTAGAAAGGCCTAATTGCTTCTGGATCAGACAGCTATTAAAGAGGTGACATGCAAATTAGAGCTGTGATGGTGCAGTGATCAGAATGCAGCATTGCAGGCTAATTCTTCTGATTGACAGTTCGATCCTGACTGGCTCAAGGCTGACTCGGCCTTCCATCCTTCCAAGGTGGGTAAAATGAGGACTCAGATTGTTGGGGGCAACATGCTGACTCTGTAAATTGCTTACAGACAGCTGTAAAGAGATATATAAGTCTAAGTGCTATTGCTATTATCTAATAAAACATACAAGAAACTGCTTTCTTACCATTGAAATCTGCAGAATCAGAATTCCAACATCAAAACTAAGCAAAGCAGATAGTTATAACGTAAGTACTGCCACAAGGACAAGTTTCTGGTCCCTTTCATGGGAAAAGGAAATGGGCTACATTTCCATAGGAAGGTAGTAAATACTGTAGAGACTACAACATGTAAACTAAAAATGAAAATGTGACCAATCTATCTTGTATTTACTTGAAAAAAGACTCAACTACAGGACATTATCTGCCGGGTTTTTACTGAAACATGCTCTATCATCCTTCAGGTTGCTAATATCATTTCAACATTCTAAAGTAGTTTATTTTTAACTGAAATAAACTGAACAACCCTTCATTGATACTATATATTTCTGGGTAAGAACCATCTCAGTTACTGTGAGATCCCGCTTCATCTTCCTACCTTAGTGGAATTTACAATGCAGCAACCTCAGAGGGAGCACCAGAATAGGAAGATGATGCGGCTGCAATAGACTCGTTCAGATTGTCAACTGAGGCTGTGATAGAAATAAAGACATCTTGAAGAGGCTTTTCATAGAACAAAGGCAAATGAGCTGCTGCCATCTCGCCCACAGACTTTGGTGCATCTTTTGCTGAAGGAAAAAAGAAGACAAGAAGTTGCAGTATGAACATTTTTGCATTCATTTCATTCCAGTTCTATTATTTCTGTGTGGTAGATGATTCTCCCCCCCCCCCCCGTTAAAGTCTTTGAACCTCCACAGCAGAAAATAAGTGATATACTGAAACAAAATAAGTACAGTAGAATCTCTGGGTCACGACCATAATTTGTTCCATAACTTTGGCCGCAAACAGATTTGGTCGTGACCACTGTTCCTTCTAAGGTGCGCNGCATATAACCCGCGGGTTATATGGGTGAAAATACGGTAAGTCTTCTGCCAAGTCAAGGTATCTACATGGATTTTTTGCCAAAAGCTTACTAAGCTTAAAACAGGCATACAATGGCCAGTTGTCAACAAAGATAGCCAAAGTCCGCTCCCTCCTTTGAAATGTTCAGTTGCGCCCATATTAATTGCAAGAAACCAGAGGAATTGATCTGTCTTAATCCTGCCAATGATCACTTTATATCATAAGTGTTCACCTCTAAATTCCTTTCCGCTTCAAAAAGGGAGATAAGCTCATGTGAATTCAAAAACTGTGCCTCTGAGCCTTGGAAATAAATGTCAATGCCACATATCTTCATTTACTGCATTGATAATTTTTTGTCAGTTTGCTCTAGGCAATTTAAAATATTTAAGCATGCAAATCTAGCATATGCACAGGCAGCATACTTCTTTCAAGTTATTGCTTATATTATGTGCTTCGTGAAGTGGGCAGCATCTCTATGCAATTTTTTACATGAGGCACACATGGTAGGGAAAACTGCAGCCCTGTATAAATGTGTGGGTATACATTACATTAATAGTTTACATGTATAAGATTGCATTGTAAGATCAAGAATTGGTCCTTAGCGTTTCTGATCAACTCCATAGCATCCCAAATCTACCTTCCTGACTGATTTATTGATCCTTGCAATAATTATTGGTATCTCTGACTCTCACAGCTCCTGGATGATCCCCAGTTCCGATGCATCACTAAAATCAAAACCATTGGCAGTACATACATGGCAGCTTCTGGTGTGACACCTGATGTCAACAGCAATGGTTACAACACTGTTAAGGTAAGCAGTGAAAGGAAGGCAGAAGAATTACAACTGTGGAAGTACCCATGGTCACATGATCACATTTTAGGCACTTGACAACTGGGTCATATTTATGATTGATTGCAGTGTCCCCCAATTTGTAACTCCCTTCTCCCAAGTTTCCTCTTTTTTGCTGTTTTCCAGCCAAACTGGACATTTTAGAGAATGTATTTGCTTAATGGCCACAGTGACGCACCTTAGGACTGTCATAAAAATGGTCATAAAATGAAGACACCATTGTGCAACCAGGGATCGTATAGATAAATATCAGTGTTTTGATGATTCCTAATTCTTTATTATTGGATGACTTCCTTCAGACTTTATGTAGATGATAAACAGAGAATATGTTGAACTTTCTCTGAAAGTAAGGGCCTAAGATTAAAAGAAAAGTCTTTCCATCTGTCCCAACACTGACCGGAAGAGGCCATATTTGCTCTTGCCAAATACCATGATTAATTACTAAAGTATTGAAAGCTGTTAAGAAGTCAAGAATGGCCAGGATGGGTGCATCTTCCCTATCCTGGTTCCTATCTCAGGCCACTATGCATCATTATTAACTGCAATCAATGCTACCTCAGTACTACTCTCACAGGAAAGAGTTACTGCTTCAAAGGCCACCTGAAGCTAGTCCAACCACCTTCTCTCCAAAATGAAATGGATGACAGGATCAGTTATAGAGAACTATTGAGTTCAGCAGTGATTCCTTGAGAAAAAGCAGACTATCATATCCTTCAATACAGATAGAACTATCCCGTCACTCAAGGATGAATTCTCTACCTGTGCACAATTTTTCTGTAATGCCTTGATTAATATGGAATTAATTGCCTCTCTAATTTAAGAGTAGAGAACCTGTGACCCTTCAGATTTATTTATTTAGCATGTGGCACAGGGATCACCGAGGTAGCTGCCTGCCTCTGTGAAAGGGAATTTTTTTGGGCGATGTTATCTTTACCTGCGGGACATCTGAATGCCGGTAGGCAATGGGGGGAGGCTCTTTTCTTGTCCATACGCGGTTTGTTCACTCACAGGAATCAAGCCACCGACCTCCGCGGTGAGCAGGCCCAGCGTCTTACCATGTGAGCCACCGTGGCCCCCTCCAGATTCTTCTCACTAACAACTCATTGCAGAACTAACCAAAATCATCTAAAAATGGAACTGATGTTGAAAACCAACTAAAGGGCTATAGACACCACAACCTAATAATTAGGTATAACTTGTTTGAATTTATTATGACTGCCCATTTCAACAGCTTACCAAAAATCTAATACAAAATGAAAACAATTAAAAATATGGACTTAAAAACCTTGTGAGTTGTTAGGAAATGAGTTTTAATATATGTGTATACATTTCTAACATGTAGAAGAGATTTGGAATCTAGACTTACTCAAGGTACCTTGTAAATAGAATTTAAAACTGTAGGAGTGTTCCTCTGATTTTTTTTTTTTCCTTTTGGTGTTTTGCCCTCCCTAGAAGGAAGATCTTTCAGAAAAGGAGCGTTGGCAACATTTGGCAGATCTTGCAGACTTTGCCTTAGCCATGAAAGAGACCTTGATGAACATTAACTATCAGTCCTTCAATAACTTCATGCTGCGAATAGGCAAGTGGGGTATCCTATGTGATAAATATGGGCTAGATGGGACTAATCACATTGCATTGGAACATTATAATTCCAAAGGGAATGCTTACACAAGGCGTATTACCAGATAATAGCTGTTGGTTTAGATAGTTTTAATGGACGCTCTAAAGGAAAAAGGGGAGAAAAAGTCTATCAGCCATATGTTCCAAGATGTTCCCTTTCTAAAGGGATATCTGATGATCTATTGTATTTTTCGGAGTATAAGATGCACCTTTCCCCCTCAAAAGAGGGTGAAAATCTGGGTGCATCTTATACACTGAATACAGCATTTTTGGCCTACCAAAACCCTGCCCCTTTATAAAAATGGATGTACAGTGGGTTTGGGAAGCTTGCAAAGTGCTCCTGAGGCCTGGGGAGGACAAAAATGAAAAAAGGGCTGTTTTTGCTCATTTGTGCCCCCCCCCCCCAGGAGCACTCTACAAGCCTCCCAAAGCTCTACATTCCCCCCACCCCTTTTTGGCAAAAAAACAATGTGTGCAGAGGGTTTGGGAGGCCTGCAGTCCAAAAACTTTTTAAAAAATTGCCTCTTCAAAATCATGGTGCGTCTTATAGTCCAAAAAATACGGTAATACCTGATGAATAACAGTGAAGTGGGGAGGATGCTACTGTGCTCATACTTTCAGGCTCCCAAATCTAGATATTTGACTTGGTACTGTGAAAAATAGTGTCCTGATTTTATTGTTCAAATCCATCAGGGATTTCAGTTTTCCCTACTTGTGATCTTGTTCTGGCTCTGCGACAGACCTAAAAGTACTGTTTAATACTTGATGCTTTTGTTTCTCACTTTCTCTCTTGTTATAATGTACTGACAGGCATGAATAAAGGAGCAGTGCTAGCAGGGGTGATTGGTGCCCGTAAACCTCACTATGATATTTGGGGGAACACGGTGAATGTGGCAAGCCGGATGGAGTCCACAGGTGTCATGGGAAATATACAGGTGGGGATACTCTTCTGCTCTAAGTGGGAACAGGAAGGTTTCTGAAAATGGTGGCAGTTAACTGTAATTATAGACACTTCTGACTCTTAACAGCATTAAATCCAGCTTTAATGACTACTGTGTAGTAAGGGCAGAAAGAGTTAGAAACTGTGGCCACAGATGGAGACAGTAGGGGTCAATATGGTAGCAGCATTGTATGGAATCTCATTATTTCTTACATATTAGGAAGCTCTGAAAAGTTACAAGAAACTTATCTAAAGTGATTTCTCAGTTCACCTCAATGCAGATTAAAATGGGAGGTCTGTGTAAATTAGATAATGAACTTGGGGGCATTTTAAAGGAATTATATTCAAGTCACACTGAATGCCAGCAGAACTTGGTAGCTTAATTACAATCTGCTCTTAAGACACAGCAGCAGACAATCAATTGGGCTCACCCAGATGTAATGAACCATTGTAATTCGCAGTCAATGCACTAGTCATTCTGATTGAACGTGATCAGAATATATTGGCAAAGTTACTTAATTGGGGAACTCAGAGATAAGGAAGAGCTGCGGTGGCTCAGTGGTTAAGAGTGCAGTACTGCAGGCTACTTCTGCTGCCTACCGGCTACCTGCAGTTTGGCAGTTTGAATTTCACCAGGCTCCAGGTTGACTCAGTCTTCCATCCTTCCGAGGTGGGTAAAATGAGGACCCAGATTGTTGCGGGCAATATGCTGACTCTGTAAACTGTTTAGAGAGGGCTGGAAAGCTAAGTGCTATTGCTATTGGTTATAATGGTGAGGGAACTGACTTCCCACAGACCCTTGCCTGCCATTATTAACCATCAGAAACTGCTGTTAAACATATAAGGAACTCCCAAGTTTCTCCAAAAGGTAGATGGGAGTGTTACTGTCAGTTGTGCAGCATTTTAACAAAGACCCAACTAAAAGAAAGGGTATTTAATAATTTAATAATCTTTGACCATATACTCTCCCCTCCTGAAAATCAGGAAGTGATTTCAGGTAAGTAACGAGTTTCCAAAGTGATGAAACATAACTTAATAGATCCATATATTCATAGAGTACATTTTCCCGGTTTTATGCTGCAATAAAGAAATGGTATTTATGGATCTCTGTAGAATTTTACTTCTGCATTTATTTTCATTTTGATGAGGCTTGACACATCCTCATTACACAATATAGCATAGCCTTTGGAGTCCACTTCTTTTGGGTCAGTTAAAAAGGTGGGTAAAATATTGACACAAAACCCAAAACATTCTCAAAAGAAACATTTGGTTGATAAGCCTTAGCTGCAACCGGTTTGACTATATCTGTGTATTCTCTCACCCTTTTTAGGTGGTGGAGGAAACTCACTTTATCCTGAAAGAGTATGGCTTCCGCTTTGTGCGTCGAGGGCACATTTTTGTCAAAGGCAAAGGTGACTTGCTGACATATTTTATGAAAGGACGTGAGAAGCAAGATTCCTTTATCAATGGTTCATGTGTGACTTTGCCTCATCAGGTGGTTGACAGTTCTTGAAATTCTCACCCTACATGCAGATAGCAGAAAAAAAGCAGGTACCTCTGTAATGCCCAAAGACAAACTGCTTTCAGCACTTGCTGCTCTGGATGGGAGATTGATATAAACACCACTGATAGATTTACAGGAAATCACCCCTTTGCTTGTTCCTTTCTTCTTGAACATTTATTATTTGTAAAGGGGCTCCCTGGCCATCAGTTTGCATTTGTCTCTTGATATAGAAAGGGCAGTAGAAAGGAGGCTTTGATAGGAAGAGCTCTGCCTTTTGCACAAACACGTGGCTTCTTGCACATTCAAGCCTGGAGGTAGTAGAATTCTCACTGCAGCCTTGCTTGGCTAGATCACTTTGATTGCATTCTCTTTTTAGTTCAAATGTGCAGTGGTTTTGATTTTCCATTGATCCAAGCTCTGCATAAACTTCTCTGTAAAAATAAATGCAAGTTCAGAGTGGGTACGACAAATGGGCAGATGAACTGGGAACACGGCATAAAGTTCACACCTGGCCCACTTGGTTCAAATGGAGTTAATAATTGTCTCAAAACAGGCACATAGCAGAAAGGAAAAAAAGAACATGTGGAATCTTTCCTTTCACTGTGATAAGATGCTCTATTTTGGAGAGGGAAAGGGAAAGAGATCATTCAAGTATATGGATGGTAATATAAATATATATATATATATGATAATATATATGAGAACAGATATCTTTATATTTTTAATGCATCTTAATTGTGAAAGTAAGGTGCCTCTTTCAGGTGGTGCCTTCCTTCTTTTTCTGCCCTCATCTTTGCTGATGCTTTAAAAGGAAGAGATTTATACAGCCTGAACCGAGGCTGTTTTATTAAAAGCCTTCATCTGATCGTTATGTTGAAATAAAAATTATGTAATTTGTTTAGTTTCTCAAATAGATTCAGTTTGATTTTAAAATTGCTGTCTCTTGTTTTCTTTTGCGGGGGGAGGGGGGGAGGAGTTGTGTCATTCACTCTTAAGGGGAACTGTGCATGTTTGGGTTGAATGCTAAATAACCTTAGTAGAAGAAAATGATTTCTGATTTCAGAGTGATGTCCAAGAGTGCCATTATGCTATTGGAATATTTAACTATAATAAGTCAAGAGAGGATAGCTAGTCTGTTGATGCACCATTTTTGTCTGATTTAAACATAAACCAAAGAGGACATTTTGTATTGCAAAAGACTGAAGATTTGTGTCTTAAAGATGAATCCTAAATCAGCAAATGCTGCTGGAAGGCTTATGAGAGGGGCTGCATGGTAAGGAGGGCTGCCCTTTTAAGAACCACAAACCCTGATTAGTAGTTAGCTTTTTACATTTACAGATTAGGACTTTTAAGAAGTCGTATTGCACAATAAATAAAACACGTCCAAATATAGAATATCTAAAGGAAATGTTATATCATTTCTCCATTTAAACTATATTTAATTTATGGAAATGTGATATCAGAGCCAAGACTGAGAACAGCTTTCCTCACTTCTGTAATGTATAATCTGTTTTGGCATCTTTGAGTGAAAGACTGATACAAATGTGCCAGAGGACCAAATTGCAGTGTTTTCAGATATCTATAAAAAAAAAAGCTTTTCTGGATTTTTATTTTTAAATATACATCAATCTCAATACATGAACAGTGTGGCCTCTGGGTATACTTCATTTTGATACAAACATCAATAATAGTAATATGAAGAACGGTTTGTGGGCCGGCAGCCGGAACCATAAAGCGTACTCCCAGAGCGGCCACTGCCAGAAGACTCTGCAGCCGAACTCAGGGGTTTGGAAAGGAGACCTGGGCCAGGGCATGGTGAGGCTGGAAGGTGCATGAGCTGGGAACGGAACAGCCGCTCGTGCAACCCCCCTCTCCAGCCGTGCAGAGCGCCATTCAATGACCTAGAGATATTCCGACGGCATTAAGCCACGTGAGCGCCTGTTCCCTGGCTCCCGCGGCTTGGCGTCTTCGGAATACCTCTAGGTCAGTGAATGGCACTGTGCCTGGCTGGAAAGGGGATTTGCCAGGTGGCTGCTCATGAGCATGGTCACCTCATGGCTGCTGTGCCTCTGTGGCTGTGCCACTCTTTGGGAGCTCGCTCGCAAGAGAGCAGCCACCCGGCAACCCCGCTCTCCAGCTGGGCACAATGCCAGTCACCAATTGAGCAGTATCCTGAAGACGCCAAGCAATGTGAACACCTTTGCCTCCGCAGTTCCCGCGGCCTGGCTCCTTCGGGATACCGCTAGGTTGGTGACTGGTGCTGTGCCTGACCGGAGGGGAGGGGTTGTCCAAGGGGCTTATTTTCAGGGGAGGGCTTATATTTTTGCCCACCTGAAAAATATGGCATGGCCTTATTTTCAGGACATATTTTCAGGGAAACATGGTAGTAGTAGTATTAGTGGTAGTGACATTAGTCAAATGTATGTAATCCTATTATTGATATACATGATAGTTTTAGAGTAGTTATTCAATATTTCAATGTTCCATTTTAATGCCAATGATATTATTAAACATACATAATAATATCATCTTTCAACCTCTAATCTTTCCATCTAATTATTACTTACATTCTATTATATGAAAATTATATCTAATATCCCCCCTATTTCTTATTTCTACCTCTATTTTAGCTTCTAGTCAAGCCAACATTATTGGCTGACTAGAATACACATTGTGTTAATACACATGTTTATATTAAAACATAGGCCTTCATTATTTGGTTGTTCAAAGGCACACTATGCAATTCAAATACCAGTTATCTTATTATTTAAAGATACCTAATAATATCATCTTTCAACCTCCAATCTTCCTGTCTAACTATTGCTTTATCTAAAGGTGTGTATTCTTATTTCTACCTCTATTTCAGTTTTTAATCAGGTCATCATAATATTAGAAAAAAAAAGAAAATAATTCATTTCTATTCATCATCTCTGGCCCGTTTTAATACTTCAATTCTTATTCATTTTTTGGCTTGCCTTCCATACTCCTCTCTTGGATCTTTGTCTCTATCAGCATCTGTGTCTTCACCATTCAGTCTGAATATTTCTCCCATCTCTATCCTCCCTAAGCTGCCAGATCTCCAGAGTGTTCACCCAAACCCCTCTCTTCCTTTCAAAAGTATCTTCCAAATTATTCAATTCCATTTTTAAATCTCTTAAAGTACTTGTCCCTTGATTTATTTCATCAGTCATTATGATCTTTATTGTCTTCTCCTTCTCATCTTCTTGCTTTTTTTCCTGGTTTGTCTGTTCTATCTTTTCCTCCAATCTTTCTACTGTCTCCTCTCTTTCCTGGACTTTTTGATCTTTATTCATTATCAATTGTAGCATATTTTCTATTTTCCTATTTGTGCCTTGCATTAGGTTCTTTGTGGTTCTTTGTCAGAGTACCCCTAATGCTTTTAAACATCAGCACCCTTTCTCTTGAAATCTCACTCATTTCTCCCCGAGGGAGCATCTTGTCTTATTTTAATAAGTCCCACTTTTACTCAAGTCCAAAAACAATATATTCAAGTTCAATGTTGCTCCTCAGAAAGTTCAATCACCATAGTTCTTTACATCTCAGGATTATCAATCAGTTCCATTTAAGTAGTCTAGGCAGCTTCCACAATAAAAAGTCACTTTACTTAAGAGTCTTCTTATTCTCACAATATAGTCTCCAGTAGTCATAAATTAGATAGTTATAGAACAGTATATAAAAAGTATCACCACAAACCTCCAGATGAATGTTATTTATTTCTCATCAGGAGTTCCTAGACTTTTAGAGGTATGGTATATTTTCCATTCAACAGTAGATGGCGCCCTCAGTTTAGATTTCAGTATTGTTTCAAGTCTGATAAAATGATTGATCCAAATTTAGTTCAATTTATGGAAGCACAATCAGCTATTCAAGTAAAATCAAGTAGATTCAAGTAGTTCCAGCATTTTATAATGCCTTTCCAAAACACCGCCTGCCCAATTTAAAAATCCAATTTTCTGTTTTAAAAAGTCTTTAGCTTTTCTCCCCTTGATTCCTTTCTTTCGGGTCTAGGATTTTTCTCTCCTTGGTTGTTTGCCGCTTTAAGAAATAGTTCTAAGAGTCTCTTTTCCTGGATTTTCCTCTTTCTTATTTTGTTTTGTTTTTTTCTTTTAAAGTTAGGGTCTAAATCTTGTTGCCTTGGCTGTCCCAGCTTTATGGCAGCCATGGTGGCTGCTTCTTCTCGTTGTGGATGAGAGGGAGAGCAGGAGAGTTGCTGCTCTCTGTGACTTGCCCCTCTTTTCTTCAACATCCCTACAGGGTGGATTTAGCTCCTTTTAGAGCCCTCCAACAGGGAGAACTCAGCGTGGGAGCCGTGACGTCAGACGGAAGTCAAATATACAAAATCTTAATCCACACAGATAATCTTACTAAATCAGA